ATGCAGCTCCGCGTCGTACTCGTCGGGAGGCAGGGGACGCACAAGTTAAGTCGCCAGTGAACGTTGGTGTTGCTTCGTCGATTCTGGGGGCTGATTCCTTCGGCTGTACTCTCGGTTTGAATTGCGAAGTCGCGAGTGGGCCTGACCCCGCGGGGAGCTGCCAGGAATCAGGATCACCTTTCCTCAACGTTCCCGTGCTGGACGGACGGAGGCTAGACAGCTACCGCAGCGTTGACAGCCACGCACGAGGCCGTTTTGCTTTCGCCTTTACCTACAAGACCCGACCCCAGTTTCTAGGCTCATCGCACAATGCAGGCTGTAGTCACATCTGTGTTCGTCAATGACTCGTACGATTATTCAACACAAGCACCACAACGTGTGCGTCGAATTTGGGAACTCAGAGGACAAACCAACGCGCTTCCGCACTCTCAAGGCAAGTTCGTCGCCCCGTCAAATAACACGTTGAGCCACGCGGCGAGCCGGAAGCCCTGCTTCGCAAGCTGAAGATCGATCTGCATATCGCACACAGAAGGGAAGACCAGTCGCGCAGTCAGCTCCATCCAGCCACCGGAAGCACGAGGTAGACATACCACAGGGATCGCGTTATTGAAGTACGTCCCACTGCAGAGATCCTGCCCCGTCTCGAAGTTGAAGACCACGGACTATCCTCGCATGCGTTAGTCAGCATCCTACCTGGTCACCAGACCATTGGACGGGGCAGCGTGTGACGGAGGGTACTCACGCAGTCAAAAGCGTTGGACTCTGCGGCCCACACGAGGGGGCATTTCAACGGCGCTATTGCGTCCGTAGACCGGTGCGTGAGAATAAGGTTCTTCAGCTCTGTCTCAAGCTGATTGTCTGGCTCGGAGCGGGTGGAGAGACGCTCTGTGGGTGAAGAGCAACTAATCCAGGAAGCTGCTTGGGACTTGAACGAGCCAGTCTTGGGGAGGCGGTGCTATGAGCGATGATACGAGCAACAAGTGTATTACAGACAGACCTTGATCTGGGCGACGAGATCGTTCGCATACTGCTGTGGCGTACCACCATGGCTTTGATCAATGTGCTTCGTCACCAGCCCAGTATCTAGAAACCTCAATGTCAGTGGTACGGTGCGAGCGTGTCCAATTACTTGATATTACCCCAAACCTACAAATGCGGGTATCAGGGCCGTGGATGCGCTCAATCGTGGGTGCAACGTACCGCGTGCAGATTCGATGAGGATTCCCCAGAGCATTTCGCAGAGATTCCGTTGCCTCCAGTTTCGATAGCCTGTGGAACGCTCAGCAAGATCTATCAAGGTCTTCTGCGTACGAGACTCGCCTCTACATGGAGGGGCTGCCCGATATCGCCGAGGAACTGTGTGCCCATCACTGAGCGAAGATCTCCAACCGACGACATCCTGCACCTACGTGATCTAGAAGGCTGTCAGGAAGAGCTCATAGATGAAGTACTAGTCTACCCACCCAGAAAAAGAAGAGCCTCCAAGGTGTGTTCTGCGGTGAGGCGGCCATCAACAACGCGAGAGGTGAAGTTTGCGATGGCGGTCACTGCATCATAGGGTGAGTCAATAGATAAGAATAGTAGACAAACGCACTCACGAATACAGAACCCGTTCCCGCAATCACGCTGCTCATCTACAGAGCATGACCCTGTGAGAGGGGAGTCTGCGTTGTGTCCATTAGTGGAGTGAGTTTAGATGAACCAAATGACTCCGACCTTCCGCATCGACGAAGTGGAGGTCGGCAGACCATCTGAAGGCGGCTTGAGACTTCACCTGATCAGCCCACTGCGACGAGGCAAGGACGAGTCAGTGGATACTAGCCACAGAAGCAGTCGTGACTTACTATGGCAGCAGGACCAAGGGAGAAGTTCCACGTTGCATTGAGGGTGGAGTGAACGAATGTAGCTGCTTTGGGCGCTAGGAACTACATACGAGTTGGTAGTCAGACTCCTAAGCGAGCGAACAGAGCTAGACTCTGGTAGACGTACTTGCTCGGCAACAAAGCTACAAGAGAGATTTTTGAGATCAGCTCTTACCAGACGGATGGAATGCTCACCCTACAGTCTCGTGTCCCAAGTTACCCCAGGCATGAACCTGGAGGGCTACGCTGAAGACAAGAAGCGCGCTAGCAAGGCTCAGCATTGGATTTACGGTACGCGTGAGGGCGGACGATTTTCCTCATCTCATCAAAAGCATTTTATACGCGAGCGTGCAGTTCGCGGTCAGTGCCGTAAATAGACTAGATAGACCCATGTGCGTATCCATGGGAATTTTCGCGCGATATGCTAGTGAAAACAGAACACGCAGAGATCAGCCGAGAACAATTACCCAAAGCAAGACGAGCACATACGGTATGACGTTCTTCTGTAGATCCGGGAATCAACACAGACGTCGAGGAGAACCCGGCGTCGACCGGCAGGAGCACGGAGTGCGGTGCTTCTGTCTATCGACGCATGCACTCCGAGCTTATCATGCTCTACGAGAACGTGCGTCAGTACTTGAAAGCTTGCACCATGGACTCCGTGCCCAAGGATCGCACCTTGATATACGACGTCGAAACCCACTTCTGGCGGCAGCGACTCGGTGCTCTCTTCGATGGCACGAATGCTACCAGAATACGTGACACCGTGGTTGCTATGATGGCGCTAGGTAAGTCAACCATCGCCTGTGTAACATGTTCTATAATCTCCGAGTGCAGGCCTGTGTAGACCGTCAATGTTATGTGATGCTGTAGTAACAATGAGTGTCAACCAGAGCCTTGTCCTTCCAAGAGGGGCGGCTGGTAATCGACGAGGGGTGAATGCAGGGTGATGGGATGTCTGATAGCAAAGGCAGTATCTTGACAGGATTGGAGTAGTGTGAGTAGACGCATATCAAAGGAAGCACTGAGGCACAATAAGTAATGTCACTGGCAATTAATAGATCCGTCAAATGTCGAGGACGCCACATGCCAGCGTGGTCTTTCATGGATCACGACTGTTGTTTGACTGACGAAGGGAATGATCCATAGATATGCCACGGAGTATCACACTCACCATCACGAGAAGCATCGCCGCACAATGATGTTATGCAAAGCTCATGACACTGGACATGATTGTGTATCACTGTGGCACTCCGAGTCCGGTACCAGCAGATGCAAATACTAGTAACCATTCAATAGTAAGGCATCGCGAACTCACAAGTATGGCGTTCAAGATGGTATGTAGACTGCGGGTCTGTCATTACACGTTTGGAATGAGGATTTTCCGCTCGTTGAGTGGCACCATCATCGAGGTTCCGGAGTACGAGGTACAGGTTGCGACGAAGTAGTATGTACATGATACAGTTATCGGGCGCTTCCGTGCGAACTCGCCTGAACTTCGACCTCGATCTCCATCTCTGTATGTACCTTTACATCCACTATACCGCTCCCAAAACCACTTCAATGCTGCTCTATACGATTTGTGACAGTAACACGTACGCATATTGATCTATGTCTAGCCAGTTGCGACGACGTCGTCAATCCGCATCACTGCACTCTGGCAAATACCAACTTAACTCCAGTCGATCCTCACAGGACCCTCCAGACTGAGAATACACGGATATGAATACAAAGGAACGCGATAACGGAGAGTTCATGGCAGATAACGTAGTCTAGCGAACACAATGATCGCCTCAAGCAATCCCAAAGGCTTCCACCTTCATGCAGTACGTTCTTCCACATCCCTAGCCTCACATCTCCTCCCCGTCCTTGATATGATTGTCCACCATCCTCCCAAATACGCGGACCTGAAGCTCGTCTTCTGGCACCCGCGTCGCCTTGGCGACCGCGCCCACCGCCTCCGCGCCGAGGATCTGAATCGACTTCATCTGCGACGCCATCCTCACATTCCTCTCCTTCTTGCTCCTCTTCGCATGCTTCTTCAACATCGAGCTCGTTGCGCTCAGCCGGCTCTTGTCCGACATCTGTGACAGCGCGGACCTCACCGATCTTGCCGACCTCGCCGACCCTGGGGTGCGCAGCGAGCCTCGGCTCCACGGGCTCGAGCGCGGCGTCGTCGGTGTGGACGAACTCGGCTTCTTCTGTGGGGTGCGCGGGCAGACCACCCACTGCGACAACGACGCGTCTGATATCGACGACCGACCTGGGCCTGTTTGAGTATCTCCGCGCGTCGGACTGGAACCAGCCATGTCTACGTCCTCGCTGCCCCGCCTCCCAACCCAAGCTGCCCATTCGCCGTCATTCTCACACTCCATGGCGTGCTGGTCGCCAAATGGGTCCTCCAAGCTCGGCGATTCCGGTCCTCCTGAGCCATCGCCCTCGCCATGCCTTGTGAGGAACGCCTTCGTGGTTGGGCTCGTTGCCTTCGACGTCTTGTGCTTGCCGAAATGCATACTCTTGAAGATCCTGCCCCACCTCTTGCTCCCCTTCCCCTTCCCCTTCCCTTTCCTCTTTGTCTCCCCAGAGAGTGGCAAAGTGTCCTGTCCTTGCCCGTCGACGGCCGACCACGGACGTGACTCCAACGACGCTGCCGAGTCGATGAATAACTGTGGGAGCGAACCGCGCCGGCGCGGATGCCGCACTCTGGCGGGCTCGTAATGATCTTCACCGCTTTCAAAAGGGTTGAGTCCGGCCATGAGTGTCGTAGTAGGTGGCTGCGTTTCCACTGTTCTCGTCCGCAGTCCTGCGTGGATGGATAGCAAGTTGGCTTTCCACCTCTACTCAACGTGGTCGGGGTGCAGGAAGGGGGGACTTTTGGCTAGGGGAGTCTGGGGAAGGGGAAAGGGAAGGAGGAAGAGATGATAGATCGAATGCGTCCCTTTCATACTCGAGCAAGACAAAGCGTCGCACAATGACTTTGCCAACGTTTGGTAGCGCTGGCGCACTGGTGGTGAGCCGGTGGCGGGTGGACAAAGGTTCCGCGTTCACTCATGTATCGATATCGGCTATAGACATGATGAAAGAATCTTGGATGTAACGTAAGAACGTTAGAACCAGGAACGAGAGGTCAAAAACGTATGCCACATACCCGGGTCGAACGAGTGACCTCCCCATGTTCTGAAGTACAAGTGGGGCGCGCATACCACTACGCCAATGCGGCTTAGTCCTCTGTTCGGCACAGATAAAATATATATCACCAACAGCACCAGTGACCCTTGGGCGACAACACCTGGTTCTAGGCGACCGTTCGTCCTCTGACTTCAAAGTCGACTACAACGTATACTAATCTCTCTTAGAGTACAGCTTCATCTTTCCATTAGCCCTGATACAATGCATATCAGATCTGTAGCATACAAGATTGCTTGGAGTTGTAAGTATGGTTGGAACGTGAGTGATAGAGCATCAAGCACGCACAATTGGCTCACGCTCTCGACTCCTCTAGATCGAAGTCTAATACAAACGGTCAGGTGGCCCCACTACAATCCCCATTCAGCCCTATTCCCTCGTGCCGGTGCACCGCCGAGCAGGTCTTTCTCAGGCCAGGGTATTCTAGTCGAGTTCCAGAGTGGTCGAACCCAGTCCGTGCCGGCCATCTGTCAACATCGCTCCTGGTGGACCGATGTGGGGAGCCTATTATCGCCCATACATAACGCACCCCCGAACGCCTGACAAGCTTCTCAACTTGCCATCGCTCCTCACCTGGGCTCACTCTTTTGCGCTTTGAGAGTCTCGTCGACGCTACACATCCCGCTTCATACCCATCGTCCGCATACTACACCGCGCACCGCTGCTTGAACCTAGAACAAGTATATTCTCCGAAATGTCGCCTCTTGCCCGTGCTGGTCCTTCTGCGCTCCGTGCTGCGCTCAAGCGTTCCCCGACGCAAGTCCGGACTCTCTACACCACTAAGGAGCACGTCGCACACAGCGTGAGTTACCTCTCCCCACCTCCTACTCTCCTCTCCGGAACCCCTTCCTCGTTGGAGTCCCTAACACCTGAGATTAATACCCCGTTCACTCCGACAGAACTTCCCCTTCAGCTACGAGAACAAGCGGAAGTTCGCCGTGAAGTATGTCGGGGCCGTCGGGACATGTTTCCTCCTGCCGTTCGTCGCCGCAGGATACCAGCTGTGAGTGCCTGCCTTGCTCTTTGTCTTGTGCTCTGTAGGCGACTCCCCAGAGCTGATGTAGGACGACGATGGCAGGCGGAAGTCCGCTGGTGGTGCGGCTTGAGCAGATGGTCCAGGAGTACTGCGAGTGTACACTACGACAGCGGCCCAGAGTCTGACTTCTCAGTCTTGACGCTTGGACGGCGCGGAGAGAGACGGAGTGGAACGGATGGAGACGCGGCTGGTGGTGGTGGAACGAACGTACTGGATTTGGATCTGCCCCCTTCAATACTGTATCATAGGATCTCAACGCAATCTCTCCACAAATGCTTATTAACAACAACGCTATCTTCGCGGCTTGGTGGTTACTCTCATGCACTGCTATTTCTTCCATTTCTTAGGATGTCGTCGAGGGGCACTTCGTCTGCGTGGGAGATATTCCCTCCGTTCAATTGAATGCGCGTTCTCGTCATTATGTTATTATCAAGGCCTTCAGTCGCGTTGTGAATGGTAGTCATCATATATTCAGACTTGATACATTTCTACATCTGTCTTGAGGCCCCGGTGGCTCGCTGTAGTATCCCTCTTCCGTATTCGCCCGTCCGTGGTCTGACAACAGTGCCGTAAAGGCGTTCAAGTTGCACCTTCCTAGCTGCGATATGTTCCGTGTCTCGCAGAGACGCTCCCCACAAGCGCTTAAAAATCTTTGGAGATCTCAGAGCTTGGGTTTCCTTTCGCCACCAGCAAAGAGTACTAGAGACCATGATAGATATGACGGGCGTTCAGTAGCCTCGTGTGTGAGGGCATCCGGCAATCGCCGGTGCTCTCATAGACGCCTAGGCCTCGCGACTGTCCGAACTTCGTCCCTCTTCCTCGAGCCTCCCTTGTCGCGGCCTGAAGGCTTGAAGACATGCCTTGCTCTTTGCTTGCTCTCTGGACTTTGTCCCGCGTACATCATTTATAGACTATGTTACATTGACTTTGATCGCGGTCCGGGGAACTCGATGGTCTCGAAGGCTGCTGCTATGGGTATATGGGTCGAGGTCTATTCTATGCGCCGTTCTGGCTCGATATGCGTGCGTAAACTCTTTGGTCTACGCGTATATGTATCACTTGGACTTCCATCTACAATGAACACTGTTATCTCATGAGCTGTCGTCATGTTTTTGACTTCACAATCAGTTCCATGACTATAATCCGCATGCATCCAATCCTTTTCGTCCTTCTACAGTCTGTATCACGATGAGGCTGAAAGCACCCTCGCAACCCCTCCTACGAATGTTTCTCGTCTACAACTCGGAAGGTCCGAAATTTCTTGACCACCACGTAATTCGATGCCCTTCTACCCGACGACGTGCTTCTCCTGGAGGTGATCTTTCGAAGCCTCGGAGAAGAAGTACATAGGCGGTCCTTTCGGAGAATTTCATGTGGGGTGACTCTGGTTGTTTCCGTTCACAGCATCTATGTGGCGCTCAAGCATTTCGGCTCTGTTCACCCTAATTCCCCAGTTTCTCCGGATTGAGTGAGTCAGGTATGGACACTATATCGTGCATTGTCGGATGGCTTGCTGAAATGTAGTTCAGGAATCGCACATCGTATGGTACATGTCCATAATGATGAGGTCAAGACACGGATGTGCCTCGACGACGGCACCCGAGCACACGCATGCTTCCGCCGCATCGTGTGGGGAGCTACGACACCAGCTGACACATGAACATGGACGGAACTATGCCAGCGCGTCTGACACTGTAAGTAGACTCTCATCGCACACGATCTATTGCCCGCGGTCACTGAGAGTATCATCCCTTGCTATCACGTTGTGCCTAGCACAATTCACTTGCAGTACAGTACACATCCTTCCATATCGGTCGACGTTCGACGACCCCGCAAAGCTCGGCACGTCAAGGCCCGACTGTGCGCAGTCAAGAACTTCTTCAGCTTGATGCTCCAAGACGAAAGCTTCTATCGCAATCACGCGATTAGCCCCCTGTCCGTCCAGCGTGCCCAACACACACTCACCGGTCCTCGTGTGCAGGGTCACGTACAAGCGAACACATGGGCTTCTGTCTCAGCTGCTAGCCACTGGCGGCGTTACATGAACCCTAGGAATCGCGAAAATTTCTGGGGTGTGTATTGAGATGTCGCCTTACTGTACAGCATACCAGCTCGAAAGCCCGGAATGAGCGAGGCATCATCCGCGTTCAGGTTGCCAAGTACGGTATGTCGGGAACATTTCCTCCGGCGTCTGGAAAGCCCGAACTTACTCGGTAGTTCTCTTCATTCCAGTGCGGCACGTGCGCCCCATTCAAGGTGCCACCTTGGCCCCCAGCGAAGCGTTTCGTCGGCATCCACGATCCTCGTCATCCATGGGGATCGCATTCATCGGCTCCGACGAATACACTCGCGAGCACTTCCTTGACTACGCACGTCGTTACGGCGACGGCGCTCCCGCGAAAACGAGGCATCGAAGCTGCAGGAGGCTGTTGTGTAAGGCGAGCCGCCCGATGTGCTAAGGCCATGCGCACTCTCAGATGACTCGTTGCCTACATGGTATCCTTCTGAGCCTGCGCTGCTCATTTGACATGTGGCACGCAGTGGCGAATCGGGGTGCATTTCATTCCGTGCGTCCGAACTTCCGCTACCCCGAGGATCTTCTCCCTCCCTACGGAACGGGCTATTCCATGCCTGAGAAGATCGACCTTTCCCGGATTGTGCGATATTTTTCTCCCGTCTGGGCAACCTCGGTCGACTCGGTCTTTGTCTTTGGCCTGCTCTGCGTCTACAACTCCGGCCCCCAGGTACAACACAGCAGAATTTATGCAAGCCACTAGTGCGTCCCATGTGCTCGCTCCATCATTAAAGTTTACTTGACTTGCCACGTCCGCCGCAGGGAATGGTCCTACAACACAACCGATAGCGCTATGCGGCGGTTCCGCTCTGTTCGCGCCCCTGCGCCATCCCCTCTCGGTGGCACCCTTCCGATTCCCCGGCGGTGCGCTTTTCCACACCGTGGTATTATGCGGCCTTGGGACGCATATATATTCACTCGCATTGATGCTCGAGACTCGTTGTGAGTTGCATCCCTCTCACACTCTCGGAGGCCTTCCAGCTTGCCCTTTCCTCCGCCTGCCACTCCCGTCTGGGTTCATCACTAGTCACGATGATCGCCTCCCGAGTATTAGTCGTGTTGGCTAGCCTCTCCATCGGTGTGCTGGGTGCGACCTACCAGCAGTCTGACAGCCATCAAGGAAACGGTTTTCTGAAATCGTTCAAGCATATGGCGATCTCTGACCCCACTCACGGACGAGTGTAAGTGCTCCCGCTCGTCTCCTCATCGTAAGCTCCACTGTACTGATCAAACGCCCGAACTCGCCAGGAACTATGTGGACCAAGACACGGCACTCGCTCAGAACCTTACGTTTTACAGCGGCGATCACTTCGTCATCCGCGCGGACCACAAGACGAAACTCAGCTCAAGTGGGCCTGGACGTAACTCCGTCCGGTTGCAGAGCAACAAGAAATACACGACGCATGTCACCGTGTTCGTACCCCCTTTCGTGTCTACCATCTTCGTCATGCGCAGCCACGTTCTAATATTGTGCCGCGTAACAGGTGGAACATCCGTCATATGCCTGTGGGCTGTGGGTAAGCATTTTCCGGAAGGTTTGCGTCAATAGCTTCCACTGCTGATATACTTCGCCCCGATTCCGTAGCACTTGGCCCGCGGTGTGGGAGGTGGGCGACAACTGGCCGAATGAAGGTACGAGAGTGATCACATGGTACCCGCCGCTCCTGGTAATATTCACCGTATGTTGTTCCCACCTGCGTCACCAGGCGAAATCGACATTCTAGAGGGCGTCAATGACCAGTCGCCAAACCAAGCTACGCTACACACCAGCTCAGGTCAGTCAGGCACTCCGCTCCTTCTCCTCCCTCCGATACTTACGTGCCTCATCCAGGATGCACGATGTCGGCATCGCGCTCGCAGACGGGGTGAGTGTCCGCTCATTGGGGTTTTAGAGCGCGGTGATCCCTGACGAGCGTCTGCGCCA